CTGATATTTGGGTGAGAATTTGAAAATTGATGAAAGATGATGGTTGATTTATAAATACCAAATATGTATGCAATTGGCCCAAATAATTTACTAGCATCCCTATAATAGTTAAGACTTGAAATTACTCATTATTCATAATGAGAGTTCATCATTTATATTAGGCTTTTTTTGTTTTTCATTTTACAGTACTAAGAACTTGAAAATATGCCATTAATTCCTCCAGAGATAAATGCATGACAAATAAAGAACTTTTTTCTTAGAAGTGATTGCAGTGGTTAGGAGGAACTTGATTACTTCTCCTCAACCACTCACTCACTAAGCTTTTACAAAGTGGTTGTCTATCTTTTGAAAGAATATCATCAGTGCCATCAAATCACTCCATAGTCATACACAAGAAAAGCTTCACATAATTTGGTCACTACCACACGCAAATATTTTGTCTTTTGTGACGTCGTGTAAGATTACACCATACCATTGTCGCACAGTAGTTTGTTGTAATTCGCACAATTCTTAGGTTCTCCACACAGAATATTTTCTCTGTTATAACATACCACAACTCTGATATAATATAAAAAAAATTGGAAGAATAACTTTGAAATCAATCATTAAAACAATTACCAGTCTCTAAGTGATATCAAATCAATCAAAGGTGACAATTATCAACTTTCAATAAGAGAGATAAAGTTTGCACAACTTTAACACAAGCACTTGATGCCAACTACTTTGATCCCCTATTAATTTGTCAGGAGAGGAGGAATCACTCCACTTGCAAAGTTCTTACCTTTTTATTGTACTTGGCTAGCATACTTAAACAACTAAGAATAAAAATGAGTTTCTTGTCCTCTTGCCTTAGTTTCCTCATAGCATAAGACCAGTGGTCCTCAGGCCTAATTCATGAAGATGCCCAAGGGACATTTGCTTCTTTATAGGACTTATTCATCCCCTTAGTCAAAAATGGTGAAATGGACAATTATTTAGATGCATGGTTCCTTGTTTTTGGTTGATGTGGTCCATTATGTGTTGTATATGAGTCCATTAATGCAAGATGCATCACATGTGAGTGATGAATGTTATAAGCTTATATAGCTATAGGGTCCACCCTACCAAGATATTTATTTAATGTTTGACAATTATAAGAAGATAGATGCCTTGGCATAGAGAGGATGTACATACAAGTGGGGCTATTCATTTTGGAAGTGAGCTTGTTTTGTTCACTCTACAAAGATTATAGAAAAGTAGTCATAGGCGGGGACAAAAGTGGGGCCTCCGGAGGCAAAGGCTCCTCCAAAAGTTATATAAATTTAAAATAATTTAATTTATTTGAAAAAAAATAATTACTTTTTAATATATTTTAAATATTTTTATTAACATGAATTTGATTATAATTCTCTAATCTAAAAATTGATATTTCATTAAAAATGATCTTATATGTGTAATATATAAATTTGATTGGTTTTTTTATATATTAGGTTTTTAAAAAATAATATATTAAAATTTATTGTGACCTGAATTATTTTTTAAATTGAGGAAAATTTTATATTTGAAAAATATTAATTTGAACAAAAAAATACATTTTAATCTATCGGAATCAACGTGATCATTTAACATAAGTTGATATTAATTTTATTTGGGTCGCTTATTATTTATTTGACTAATTAATATCCTTCAACTAAAAAGGCTAGAAAGTATTATTTTTAATTTTAATTTTAATTATTGATCGCACTATTCTTAAATATTAAATATTCAAATATATTTTATTTTATACTTTTATTAGTTCAAACTGTCATTATATAAAATATTTATTTCAACATATATTGATGGAGGCATGATTACTTTATTTTCTAGTAATTAAGAAAAATAATTTGATATTGATGAGCATAAGCTATAAATTATAGAATTTTTATCATATATTTACCTTACTTTATTAATAGCTTGTACTGTAATTTTTTAATGCCATATTTACTATTGATGGTACTAGTTCAAAATCACTCCTTTTGGTCACTAACACATTCATAAGTAATCCATTATTAAATGAACATGTTTGAGGAGCTTGTTGTTTGACTATTACATGTTCATGAAGAGTCTATTTTAAATCTCATGAACAAGCTATGTTAAGGCTCCATTATGACATAGTTATAGCTCATTCAAGAACAATATCATTTACATGTTTATTTTTAGACTCAACTGGCATTATTTAATGTAGCTCGAGTATTTTTTTTCCAACAAGTTACTTGTATAAAGCTAGAATAAGTATTTTTTAAAAGTTCAATTAAAGCTCAATTATGACTTATTTATTTTGCTGAATGATATGCTTGTTGATAAGGTCAATAATATCTATATAAATCAAGGTCAAATACTGTCTTAAATGCTCAAATCAAGCTCGAGCCAAGCTTTTAATAAGTCAGCTCAAGCTTCAGCAGGCAGGAATTTGCTCAACCCGCTCGATTCATTTGTAACCCTAACAACACTAATTTGCAACACCAAATTGATTATATTTACTTTCTCATGCATGGCCTCATTTTTAAGCCTGAGATGAACTTTGCAATTTTTTATTGTTTTTCCTTTCAAATTTACATTTCTTTGCTATTAACATAAAAGTTGGGTCAATTTGAATAGTTTTTCAATAATCTTGAATTTTGAATACACTCTAAATAAAATCAATAATTTATATATTTAATTTTAATTTTTGAATATCAACTTCTTAAAAAATAGATGTGAAGCTGTTGAAAAATAATCTAATATTAAAAAAAGTTACGGTAGCTTTTAATTTTTTTTTTTTTTAAGTCAAACAACAACTAGAAAGGTTTAGTTTTTTTTTTTTTTTTTTAAGTCAAACAACAACTAGAAATTAAATATAAAATAGATGTGAAGCTGTTGAAAAATAATCTAATATTAAAAAAAGTTACGGTAGCTTTTAATTTTTTTTTTTTTTAAGTCAAACAACAACTAGAAAGCTGTCACCACACCATACCATAACAGGTGAAAAACACATTTCAGTGGCGACTTTTCGAAAGAACTGTCCAAACACAGTTTGCTCAAATAGACAAAACCATAAAGCGTAGTCGTACCACCACCGCACCGCCTCGCCGCGTGCCCCTAATTTTAATAACATTAAAGAAAAATGATATCAATAGTTATAACTTGTCTTTTGATTTAAAGATAGTCAATGGCTATAATTATATAGGAAAAGCTGTCATACATTTTCTATTTATATTAATAACTACTAAGAAAAGTGACCAGAAGATAAAAAATCTATTCTGTTTGGATATATTTTCAAATCATTAAAATTTCTTCAAGATAATGTAATAGAAAGAGAGACAATTTATGTAAAGTTTGGTCAAACTATTTATAGAAATAAATTTATTTGTACATTTATTTATTTTGTCGTGAGTGTTTTACATGAGATACAATTGAAGGCCCCTTTCTGAAGGATTGCGCGCAAGTACAAACACAAGCTTAAAAACCTGAGCTCAATTTACGATAAAAACAAGCTATTACAAAGACTGTACTTCAATCCAACTATCAGCTGCCTAGAAAATTTTCTAGGCTCCTTTAAAGGAGGTATCAGGGGTGTCACACTTGATGGTATTGTCACTATTATTATGAAGATACTAATCATAATATCATTATAATACCACTAATTTACACGTGCGGATACCGCATGTAATATTTTCTCATCAAACAAACAGTGTGAATCAAGTCCGCCCTAAAATTAAACCGACCTAATATTATTTGATCCAAACTTGACACAAAACTATTTTTAATCACAATATCATTATAATACCACTAATTTACACGTGCATGTAATATTTTCTCGTCAAACAAACATAGTGATCAAGTCCGACCTAAAATTAAACCGACCCAATATTATTTGATCCAAACTTGACACAAAACTATTTGACCGAAGCCTAGCCTGAATGTTAAACAAATGAGAAGGTTCAACCCAAACCCAACCCATCTTCAACCTGTTGACAAACCCAACCCCTACAACTCATTTAACCAGAAATAATAGCTAATTCTGTGGAATTTGGACCGATTTCAGGTTCGCGGGTTAATCTTGAGTTGAGGGTCAGTTTCAAATCAATTTTGGGTTGATAGATCAACATGAACCTGACCCAAAATTGATTCAGGTCAATCCAAATCAATTTTTTTCTAATCAAATTTTAGTTGAGTTTTAGTGAGGTCAATTTTTGACACCGCTGGGAGGTATTGCCATTTATCTCTATTATTGGTTCAATTCCTTGATAAAGAAATGTATAAAATAATTTCAAATTCCATTCATAGATATATTTTTGAGACATTAAGGTATTTACATACCGGACACCTAAACTTCCCATATTCATAGACATAACATTCAAAAGTGAATGCATAGGTTTAAAACACGAAAATGTTGCGCATGTAAATATGAAAGTATAGTTGTGAGATATGTCAATACCTAAGAATTCTGTGCTATGCGTATAAATTTCCCAGTATATATTTTTTTTCAAATCAATTTTCTGAAGAGGCTTTAAAAGCCTCCGTTGTGATAAAAGCAACGGTAGAATCAAGCCAAATAAATGGATCAGACAACCAAATCTTAAACTTTAAACAATAACTGAAAAATAAATCAAGTACATGTTTATTAGCGTAAAAAAAATTCTGAAAAACTATTCTGACAATTAATAGGCGCAAAAGAATTTAATAGAGATATTATTAAAAAATTTCTCAAACAGAAAAAATTCTCACCTGCGCTTATTTCCTAGTGGAAGCTCCAGAGCTGGGATGGGCGTGCCTACTCCAGCTCCTGTTTTGTTAACAATCTGGTTGTCTGCAACTGTGATGCTTCATTAGTATTAATGACACAGTCTAGTTGTGTGCTTTTAATTGAGAAATAATCTTCAAGAGAAGAGATCGTTCTTTCAATAAAAATTGATCTTGATGTCAGATAATCCTTCATTCGGCACAAAAACTCCGTGTGATTCCTTGCCTGACATATACGGTAGCAAAAGTGTCAGTAAATATTATACAAACATACATGCATACATACAATAATACTACGCTGCTCTATTTCAAAATCAAATGGTATCAGAGCAATGTTCTAACCCTATAACCCAGCCGCCAAATGCCTCTGCAGCAGCCGTCCTCCTTGCCGCAGGAATCCCTAGCCTCCGGGCCTTCTAGCTGTCCCTCACAGACGTCGGCCTCCTCTGGATTTCTCCTATAGCCGCCGGCTTCCTCCATGAAGGGATAAATTCTCATTCTCTTTTCCTCAACAGCAACTCATCCATCAACCTTTCTCGCCCTTTTCTTCTGAGGTGGCGGTGACGGTGTAACACGAACGATCTACTTTAAAGAATTGAAGTGCTCCAAATCGAGAGAGTTCAACAAGGAAGTTTTCATGCCAGAGTTTCAACTTTCCTGCAGTCTTCCTGCAGCTTTCTTGCATCCTTTCCCACAGCCATATTGTAACCTCCTTGTAGCCTTCTTGCAACTTTTTCTGCATCTTTCTTATAGCTTACTTGCATCTTTCCAGCGGCCCTCTTACAACTTTCGTGCAACCTTCCTGCAGTTATCTATCAACCAATGACTTACAAATCCATCAATGTCTAGTAATCTCAGCCACATTTCTTTTGGCTCGGTCAGAATCATCTCGAATCGTGCTTAGCCCTCATCCATACCACCTCGGACCGGTCACTCCAATTGTGTTTACTGTCACAAACCTAACAACACTCGGGACAAATGTTGGAAACTTTACGGTAAACCAACGTACAAACTTTCGGTCAAGTCCTCTGCTACCAAGGGTCTCACGGCAACATCTGAATCTACCGCGGTTCAACCAACTCCTACTAGGAACATCCTGGAACCCTTCGAATCCCTGAGAATCCAAATGGAGCAATTGATGAAGCCAATTAGAGCCAATCAGTTCTCTGTGGGTCCGTCGACCTCCCACGTCCAACAATGTATTCTTCCAATGGCTCTCATGGTTCTTTCCTCCTCTAGTTTGCAGATTATTATTTCAATTGCTATGGATCACATGGTTGGATGCTCACAAGCTTCTCAACTCACTATGGTGCTCTGAATTATCGATGACTCCTAAAGTTTCATTGCTGGTAAAAGGTCGATTGTACAAATGATTAGTCTAACTCTAGAATCTTTTTTAATTGTCCCCCTGTTGCAATGTAATTTTTTATATGTCAGCAAGTTAACAAATGATATTGATTGCGTGGCTAATTTCTTTTCTAATGATTTTGTTTTTCATGATCGTCTCTCGGAGAGGACGATTGAAACAACTAAAAGGGTAGCTGGACTGTTATATCCAAGAGAAAGACACGAAGAGTAAATACACATTGTTCAAGAGCTGTAGTTTATCTCCAGTCATTGAATGTCTCATCGTGCTGTCGCATTGTCGTTTGGGTCGTCCTCGTTTCCAATATTTAACAAATTTGTATCCTTTGATGTTTTCTAACAAAAATCTCTATAATTTCAATTGCGAGACAAACAACATCCGGTAAATTACCCATACCAAAATTACACACCTGCTCATTTCTCTCTCTCACAGTGACTTGGGAATCATCTCGCACTTCCAGCTACACCGATAAACGGTGGTTCATAATCATGATTGATGATCACACTCGAATGAAGTGAGTCAACATTCTAACAGTCAAATCAGGGGTGCTATCACCTTCGAAAACTTTTGCATCTTCATTTTAACTTAATTCAAAACTCCAATTCAGGTCCTTCGGGCCGACAAAGAATGTAAATTTTTCAACTCTATTTTGGGTGAATTCTTGGTGAGTAAGGACATCCTCCAACATAGCTCGTGTATGGATACACAACAAAATTGGATAGTCGATGGTCGCTTCATTATGTTCAATCCAATATCCCGAAACGATTTTGGAACGATGTCATTCTGACTGTCACCTATATAATAAATTGAGTCCCCACTAAAATTCAGAACTTTCAAACCCCCTTAATTGTCCTGATGTCAAGCTTCCTAGCCAAGCAGGTCTTCTCCACATTAGATCCCAAGATTTTTGGGTGCATTGCCTTTATTCGGAACATTACTCCCACTCAGAGTAAACTTGATCCCAGATCCATAAAATGTATCCTCCTAGGTTACTCCGCACTCAAAAGAAACATCAGTGTCTTGATCCTACCACAAACAAAACCTAAGCGAGTGTTGGTGTCTCCTTCTTTGAAAGTCTTCCATATTTTCTAAGTTCGGCATCAAGAGAGGGCGAGCTTGAGTTCTTAGACACTATCCCTTATTCTACTCCTATGGATGTTCCTCCTATCATTCATGCCACTGAGTCTCCTACTCCATTGAGTGCACCATCTCCTCCCACTATTTGTGTCCACACTCGGCGCACCCATCCAAATACTCCTACTCTGGAGCCCAATACCTCCTTACAAAACCTTGACTCTACTCCGAGTGACAACCTCAGTACAATCCCTCCTCTGGATGAGGAGATGAGTTCTCTGAGTAAGGTACACAATCAAACATGCTCTTTTTATTCTATGACAAAATGTATCTTTCTGCGGTTTATCGCCGACCTACAGAGCATTTGTTACTGCCCTGACAAACCATCAGATCTCAACTACTATTGTTGCTATTGTTGATCCATCTTGAAAAACAACAGTAATGTTGGAGATAAATGCCCTTCAGCGGAACCATATGTGAAATGTCGTGGACCTTCCTCAAGTTAAAAAAGTTGCGAGGTGCCGATGGATTTTCAACATCAAGTTCAACTCTGACAAGTCCTTTGAATGCAACAATGCACGATTAGTCGTCACGGGGGTTACTCAAAGACCTACGGATTTAACTATGATGAGTCATTTGCTCCAGTGGCTAAGCTAAATACTATTTGATTCTTTTTCACTTGCGGTGAATCTGGATTGACCATTATTCAAACATAATGTCAAGAATGCATTATTGAAAGGAGAGCCCTGGTTTTGACTCTACTATCTCAAGAGGATAAGTGTGCAGACTACGAAAGTCTCTCTATAGGCTAAAGCAGTCCCCATGGGCCTGGATTGACAAGTTCACAAAGGTGGTCGCGGGTGATGGTTTTACTCAGATTCAATCGGATCACACCCTCTTCTTCCGACATTCCTCCAATGGTCATGTAGCTATTCTTCTTGTCATGTTGATAATATCGTTCTTACAGGTAATGATCTCCCAACATTGTCCTTTAAAATAAAGTACTTAAAATCACTCTGGTACTTCATAGGCATGGAACTGACTCGGTCATCTCGAGGGACTTGCTATCTCAGCGCAAATATGTGATTGATCTTTTGACAGAGAAAAATATTCATCTGTGCAAACTTGTTGTTGTTCATATGAATCCTAATAAAAGATTATTCAACATTCCCAATGTCGTGCCTGCCAACAAGGCTCGTTACCGGCGCCTTGTGGGAAAACTCATCCACCTCACCTATACTTGCCCCAACATATGTCACACAGTTGATATAATGAGACAATTCATACATGACCTCATTGAGTACCACCTTCAAGTTGTCCACCGGATTCTCCACTATTTAAAAGGTACACCTGACTCAGCTTTGTTTGTTTTTCCGTCGCACCTCCCATTCTACTGTTGTTTATACAGATGTTGATTGGGCATGATTAGTTCATTATCAACGTTCCATCTTGGGTATTGTTCATTGTATGGAACAATCTTGTCACATAGAAAAGCAAACAATAGTATGTGTTTGTCCGAAGCAGTGTTGAAGCCGAATTCCGATCCATGTGAAGCTCTCTGGTTACATATCATGCTTCACTAACTTCGTGTCCCAACATCCGTCCCGCTACAACTATTCTGTTATAATAAGACAACAATCAACATTGCTCACAATCCAATCCAGCATCATTGTACCAAACATGTGAGATTGACAGACACTTCATTAAGTAAAAGATTGAGTCCGAGAAAATTTATGTTCCATATGTGTCCTCCAGTGGTCAACTAGCGGATAACATCACCAAGAATCTTCCTCGCTCTTTGTTTTACGAGTTCAAATCCAAGTTGAACATGACTGACATCTATACTTCAACTTGAGTTATTACTTATTATTTGTTTATTCTCTCATTATGTATTTCCTATTTTGTTTTCTTTTGTTTTATTTCTTTCCTAATTGTTTTATTCTGTTTTATTTCTTTTCTTTATTTTGTATATTATAATTAAATTTAAATACCCCTCCTATCAACCTCTTCCATCCATTTTTCATATTCTCAATCAAATATCAAAATTCGTGATAAAAACCAATTCATATTTTTTATTTTTATCAAATTCTGAATGAGATAAATACATCAGTTCAATAGTTCAAAAAATCATATGAGTGCTTAATTTGTAAATATCAATGTTTCGGTTGTATGTAATTCTCCTAAAATGTCAATGTTTTAGGTGCTCTGCATTTGATTATCCCGAATATCAGTTTAGTCAACAAACTTTTTTAATATGAGTTGAAATAATCCCTACATAATTTAATACTAATATAAACTACGAAAGTAAAATGAGAAGAATTCACACACAGATTTATGTGTGTGTGTGTGTGTGTGTGTGTGTGTGTGTGTGTGTGTGTGTGTGTGTGTGGGTGTTTGTGGTAT